TATTCATTGTGATATTAATAGCTGTAATAGTATAGAGTAATAGTAGTAAAAGTACTATACTATAATAGTACAGTATAGAGATATAGTAGTACAAGGAACAAAATACGTTATCTGTGTGCTAAGCATGATTTTTAGAGGGGTTACACCGGGTATATGCTATACGCTGGGTATAAAATGCAGACACAGTGGGGTCAAAGTATTTTTACATGATGAAATCAAAAGCTGACTTCTTACATATCTGGTGTAATGCCTGCCTGGTCCAGTGCAGTGCTTTCCCCAGTGTATTTACACTATTTCTCAGCACTATATGGAGCTAGTTTTAACTCCATTATTTCTACATTGTGCAATAGCTCTGAGCAAGCTATCTTGGGTATCTACATCTTATTTAATTGAAACTTAAGAATTTATCCTTTTAGTCTATTTCAGGATAGGGTTTTCAATCCAGAACTCTGTTATCTTAGATGAATGCCTTATCCTACTTACTATTTACAGGCTTCCTCTCTTCCATTCCTGTCATAACGTTTTTTAGAGGTCTTGCCATCTCCTGAGGGCAAATGAGAAAATTCTGAAATCTGAATAATGGTTAGATGTGAAAAATATTTTCCGCTGAACTCATTACACATTTCACACCTACTCTTAATGTTCTCAAGATAGCTCATTGCATCATGCTCTGCACATCAATTCCTTAAGCATAGATCATTTAGAATTTCCTATTGCTCCTTACTGAAAAATAGAGCTTTCTTTTCCTCACAAGAGAAAGAAAAAAGAAATTCTTCAGATGTTCCTCAAATCATCCTGGAAACAGAGGAACTTGTCTCTCAGCAATCCCAGGCAAATGTCCATCAGCCATACTGATAGATGGGTTTACTTGTTTTATTAAAATTATAAAATTCAGATGACTTTAGAAGTGTATATTCAAGTGTTTAAAAATTACTTTTTCGTTTCCCACAAAAAAAAAGACAATTTATTAAAATGCGTCTATTAGGAGCTTGAAAATGAATTAAATGCCTTTAATTCTGAATTTTCTTTCTCAGCCAGCTTCAGACAGCTCTGCTCCAAATAAATGTAATCTTTTCTGAGAGTTAATATTAGACACATGTCAATATGAGTCTATTAGAGACTGGCAGCTCAGAAGCTTGTGTTCAGAGCTCCATTCAGCAGTTATACACTGTAGGCACCACTCCATTCAGCACAGTTACACACTGTAGGCACCACAAACACCTGTTTTGTTCAGGGGCAGAAAACCATTGGGAAGCTTAAACAGTGGGGGTTAGTAATTACAGACAGTTTAAGATAGCATAGAGGGGCTGAAAATCACAGATGAGTGCTCATAATTAAGAAGGCAATCCCAATGATTTCTTTTTTTATATATCAGTGTGGAAGCAGGGAGAAATCCAGCAAGGCTATAATCTATTTACACCTCTAAGTCCTCCGAAGTGGAAACTTTCTTTGCATGCATTGCACTTATTGTATTTCTGTTCCCTTTCTCAGTGCTCCTTTTGCATTATCACAATAAACACAGCCATTAATACCAAATACCTGCAGTGCCCTCTCCCCATTAGAGAATTGCTCATGCTAGGATGATCGTATTCAAGGATTCTGTCTGCAAATAAGGACTTGACTGCTCTTACTCTATAAATCTGTGCAGTGCTCTTCCAAAGATGACTCTAGATTTCTACATAAATATAGGTTTTGTTAATAAAGTTTTAGTCATATTTTGTACTTCTTTAAGAAAGTTACACGTGACAGAACCTTTAAAACAGTCTTAAAGCTCAAAGCAGCAAAAAAATAAGAGAAATGATATTTTTTCTGATGTGAGCTTTCTGAAGCAGAGTTGTGAATGTAGAGACAAGCAATGCCACCAAACATCTGTCAGAGGTGAGAGAATAAACAATTTGTTCTGCATATAAAAGGATTTTCTTTTATCCCTTATGCTCTGCTTTTACAGATCTGCTTTTAGGTTCAAGTGTAGGTGTGTCTGCTCCAGAGCATCTCTTTGAAGAAACTGTACGTGTAGCATGTCTGTCATTAATCTACATCACAGTAATAGAAAATGAAATGAACAGCTAGTGGGTGAAAAAAAACAAAAATTCATTTTTCTAGTCTTCTTACCAGATGAACATATAGAATCATAGAATCATTAAGATTGGAAAACATCACTAAGATTATCTAGCCCAAATGTCAGCCCACCACCCCCTATGTTCACTAAACCATGTCACTCAATGCCACCATATACCAAAGGCCATAAATCTTTTGATGATGCTACAAGTTTTTGTTCCTCCTCCCCCCCCCCCCCCCCAACTCCTTTTTCTGCCTCTTAACTTAGTTTGATATTTGAAATATATTTTAGGCCTTTAAAAAAAAACCAAAAAAACATGACGCAAATGTATGTGCTAATAGGGCATATAAAAGACTGAAAAGGTAAGGACTTAAACAGATAAAATCCAATGATATTTGGAATAGCTGATAATACTGATCATAAACTGTTAAATCATCACTCTACAATATTAGCTATATTTTTTATTAAATGTTACTTAGAACTCTACTAAAATTTTGATGATATGAGAATCACTACCGATTTTCTGGAGTAGTAAGCTTTACAAATTATTGCATCTCATGACTGTTCTTCCTTGAAACATATTAATAGCACTGCAGAGCATCACCATTAAGGCTTTGGAAACTTGTAAGACCAGTTTTCAGAAGCCAAAAAAAGAGGACTAGTATATATTTACAATTGAAGCAGACTGAAGAAATAGCATGAAAATAATCATTTAAGAAATCTCTAATATTTCCTCTTTTTGCACAAATGTAAATTCCCCCAAAACAGCATTGTAACAAGAATTAACAATGAACAGACTCAGAAAGAAAACATTCATGGAGCCTTGCCTAACAGAGAGTTCACAGTCTCAACAACTTAAGTCTACAGTCAGCAACCCCACACACTGGAGAACTCAAGGAGCACCATATAACTATACATAGCGTCACCTGGTCATTCCCACAGGAACAGTCACTTTGTCACTCTTTTACATGCAAGTTAACCACAACAAAAGAGTCATCCTCTATTTTTTATTTTTTTCCCCAGCTCTAAGTGAACAAAAAGCTTTTTTTTCTTCCTTTCTGTGCATAGAGACACAGGTGTCTGTTTCTTTATACTTATCTCCCTGAATGAAATCTGACATTCCTCCTCTTCCATGCAGATGATCTAATTATTCCCACACACTATGGAAGACTTAGACTATGTGTTGCATCACACCACGCAGACTGGACGTTTGCTTGATCTGACTTTGCACAGCCAGTACAAATCTGCAATATGGGGCAGCACTACGCACAACTAACATGGCACGAAGAGTACAGTCAGTGTCACCTTTATACCTTTTAAGTCAGCTTCCAGCATTAAAACACAGATGCATTTTCTTCTAATATTTATGATCAGGCTGTGTACACATATCTCAAAGCACAATTTATCCCTTTATAAATTTTCAGCTTTGTGCCTGTAACACCTGTTCAGAATAAATTTACGGAAGGCACATCATGTTATTATTTTCAACCTCCCAGTCAGAATATCATCCATTATAAAACATTAGCTGTTTACAAGAACAGAGGAGTTCAATATGTAGTATTAGAATGTTATTGGAGGAAAAATAAAAACAAAAATAAAAACTAACAAAATCTTTCCTTATTCTCCTTTAAAATGAAGAAATCTTGCAAACCCACACTTATTCAAACCCTCATCTCAAGTTAGTCATCACAGTGCTTCACTCTTTACTTCTCTTTATGCTCTGAACCTCCAGTGTCTATGCAGTTGTTTCTAAGGTAACAGATCAGGATGTCTTGTGGAGAAATAAAAAAAAAAAAAATAAAAAAAAATCAGATCTTGAATATTCAAGACATTTCCAGTTGCTGAAATGAGAAAAGGGCAGTGTCATCTCAACTGAGGCCTCTTTTAGACTATGGTCTGACTTAGATACAAAAAAAATATAATCTACCCTAATGCTGCAGCATGCAAGTACAGTGGCATATGCAGTTTCAAGCACGTAAACTGCCAGAAATTTTTAATCAGTGCCATAATTAAAGAATTACGGAGGCCGCTCTCAACAGTCTCATTGTGGGATACACACACACAGAATACAGATGAAGGATATGCTTGGTAGGATTGCACCTTCATTTCAATCACTGACAGTCACATAGAAATCTTTCTGTGAAAAATGTGAAACACGAGCCAAAAAATAAGTTAAAAATGAACATAAATCAGAACAAGAAAACAAATATATACACTCCTTCCTTGAGGGACCATATGTGCATTTTTACATAAAAGAAAACAAAGCAAAATCTTTCACAAGTGATTAACTGAATTAATAATTTTCAGTGAATGAGATAATTGGGTTTCATGTTTTTCAGACTGGGAAGAAGTACCTTTTGTTTCTTTCACAAGCTGTCTTTCCTACTACATGAGCTCAGAAATCATATAGATGTATGAATGAAAGCTGCATAGAGAGAATATTAAAACCACCAAATCCTTTGTTATTTGCCTAACACTGTCTGATACATGTTTGTTGAAATTCTGGTATATGAACAAACGTACCCATCATCTACTATAAAATAATCATACAGCATTTTTAAAGTACCATCATTGTAAGATCTAAAAAATCACATTCATAAAAAACATGGGGCTTGATAAAAACATTCAGAGTTGTACTGTTTTCCAGCCATGTAAGAGAAAACTGACAGAGTAGCCCAGTAGATTGGGAGTCAGGAAAAAATTATATTTATAGTGACAAGCTGTACTTGCCTTCCTGCCTGTGAATCCTGTGCTCTACCTATTGTGTTACAAATCATTGTGCAGTATTAAAAATTCATAGAATTAAATCTGTTCTGTTGGTTCACAGAGCTTGTTCAGGAGAATCCTTTGGTGTATACTCTGCACGAAGAAAACATTAGCAGTTTGTGGGACTGGTATTGTTTAACAAACTGAAAGGCAGACACATTGATTAAGGCCTTACGTTCTTGGAAAGATGTGAAGAGCATCTGGAATCGGCTGCTTCGACTGCCTTCATCTGCCCACAGACGGATTACTCCAAGACCTGTCCGCAGCATTACATCATTTGCAACAGTGCTGCAAAACTTTGCTTTTAAATCCTCCACAGAGCTGCTTCCATCATAGACAGCTACAAAATTCCTTTTGCATTCATTGGAATTCTGCATCTCATAGTCCAAGAATCGCAAATATATCTGTGAAACAAACAAGAAAGAAAAGGCAACATGTAGAAACATTTTAGAATGACTGAAAATGCGTTAAGCAACAGTGCTCTATCTTGTGGGAGAAAGGCTACACAACAGCATCAAAATAATTTTTCTGGAGCTAGTGATTCACATACAACTTCCCTGAGTGGGCATTAATAGAGAAAGTGCAAACTATTTATAATTTCTTGTATTTTGTCTTGCTCCAAAACAGAACTCCAAAATAGAAGATCTAGATTTTTATACTTTGCAGCATGGTCCTAATTTCCAAACATATGCCCCTTCAGTAGAAGTATGTACAACAGTCCTTGAAGCTGAAGGACAGAGACAAGCTGAAAATTCCTTCTTTTAACTGGCACAGTATTGCTCTATTATTGCCTGACATGGAAAGTAACAAGGCAAATAATTGCTACTCTCTCCCCACAGTCAATGTGTCATCTTTGTGATATGTCTCAGCTACACAGATCAGGAAGTGAGAATCTAGGAGACAGGCAGAACTCAATCATTAATCTTTTCATGTTTCCTCAAGCAATTTGGCCACCATCTCAGCTTTTCTAAACAAAGCACTTACAGTACTTGTCTTCATAATTTAGCAGGGATGAAATCAAGATTATTCCATGGAAACTGCTAGAAACCTTGAAATTTTCCTTAGAAAATATCACTCGCATTCAAGTTAAGTTCTCTTACAATATATGTCTTACCCTTTACAAAGATGTCTATAAACCTACCCAACAGAAGTGAGGAGAAAATGCTATTTTCTGGTACTCAACTTTATACAGTCTTGAACAGGGAAACAATCTCATTTTAAAGGCAACTGCTAAAACAAGCAACATCAAATATTCCAGCAACAGAAACTAAGTAAAATTTCCATTAGATAGATGATATATAATCAAACATCTAAGGGTACCTGGGAGACTTCAAGAGAATGATACAGAAAGGTGGAGTAGGGCAGAAACTGCATAAAAAGTCAAAGAACATCTGGCTGTGTGCATCTTGAAAGAACAATCCCCCCCAAAAACTCCACTGCATTATACATCAGATTAACTTTACAAATAGTCTTATTAACATCAGATAGCTATTTACATAAACAGGACAGTTCACAAAAAGGCTTCTATGGATTGGCACAAAGTACACAAACATTATATTCTAGAAGCATACAGCACTCAACACATCTCCTCACTGACATATCAGAACTCATAAGGTTTCAGAAGTTTTACTAAGAAGTTTGACACTGCTTAATTATAGCTCAGATTTTTTTATTATTATTATTATTTTTTATTTTTATTTTTTTAAGATATCGTATTACAGCACATTTCCTTTCCTTGCTATTCCTTGTAACTGGTCTCTTTGAAGCAAATATTTGCTAGACATTTTTTTACTTGCACATGAAATTCAGTATATGAATTTCATTTCATTTTTTCCACTATGTCATTTCTTAGAGCATACCCGAATTCTGTTCCAACATAGCCATCCTCCAGAAGAACTGTGAGGAACATATTTCAATTAAATTACAGATAAATCTTTCTTTCAGCATCTTTTTACATTATTATTTTTGAATACTACAAATTGAAGCAGCTGTACTGATCTCCACAAAATTGAACATTTAGCAGCAAAAAGTAATAATTTTCAGATGGCAAATATGCAAAGAAATTGTTTTTGTAGTGTTGGTCTTCTTGATAATTTTGTTTTTAATTTCATTTGCCCTTGTTCCACTCCTGTAGAGAAATCAAAAATTACTTGAGTTCAGTCATCCACCAATTTTATTAATACATTGTCTCGAATTGTCCTGTAATTTCCTCTTGTATTGGGAGCATAGACATTCCATTTCGGTTAAAATGGGTCACCAACTTCCTTGGCAAAGTCATATTTAAAGGCTTGTTTTGAACTCTTAAATCTCTTGAGTACAGGAAATGTATTTCTGAAGTTTCTCTGCACTGGCTGTATCACTTTGCAAGTCTCTTTCATTCTCTCCAATCTTTCTCCCTTCACCATGTGCCAAGGCATCTGACCCTTTTCTTCTTCCCTCCAAACCTTGCTCTTGCCATTCTCCATTCATTTAGAGCATTTAAGTCTTGCTGATGCCAGGCAACTTTAACTCTTCAGGGGAATACCAGTTTTCAGTTTCCTGCCCTTTTCAGCCTCTTCCATGGCCACTAAGCAGATGAAGGTTCAGATTGGGTTCAGAACATCTCATAAAGCGCAGGTGCAGGCCGCCCAGTGAGGTGGTCACCATCCCTGGAGGTGTTCAAGAAATGCGTGGATGGTGTGGATGTGGCACTGAGGGACATGGTCAGTGGGCATGGTGGAGATGAGAACGTGGTTGGACTAGACAATCTTAGTGGTCTTTTCCAAACCTAATGATTCTACAATTCCATGGCTGGAATTCACTTTAATCTACTTCCTAGAAGCTGTTACACCTCTAAAAGGAAAGGTGTGAAAACATGCAGAAGTCAACTGGAAAACAAACATGAATGAGCAACAAAAGTCTAGTAAGAGAGGTTTAGGCACAAGTTTTGGACCAGCAAAAGATTCAAATGAAGTCATGCAGAAATCAGATGGGTGAGATGGGCTCCTCACTCCAGTGGTTGACAAGGCCCTCCTATACTAGCAGCTCCTATGGTCACCACTGTACTGCCAGAACAAGATTTGGAAGACGAAGGGAAGTATGGCAGGAACCAGAACTAGAACTCTCACATCTGAAAATAGCCATAACTGGGACAGGTCTGAAGAGCAGTTTTCTGTGGCCTAGAGACCAGTCAATGTTCAAACACAAGCCTAACAGGCACCGTGAAACCCTGGCACTCAGCCTCCCTGCGAAGCTGCTGAAATAGTCCATGTCTGCATAATATTTCACTTATCACTGTACATACGTATATAAAATAGATCATATTTAGACATAGTAAGACCATATAGATATAATGCAAAATGCACAGATTATATTTTTTGTCTTATTGCTGTCTTCAGGAAAACTTCAGGAAAAGAGACTACTCATAAACTGTATGGCCAAAGTCTTTTTTCTATAAGCTTATCATTTGACATTCTCTTGTTTCTGATATCATGCTAGCCTTCTAAAATGGTAAATATATCTCAGAGTAAACAGTTATAAATGCTGAGAAGGGAACAGGAGAACAACAGTTTAGCATTCTGCTTTGATTCTTTCAGTGAGGAAGACACTACAGACTTTTTTCCAAGATTGAATTCTGCTTTTGGTCACTTCTGTTGATTCCTGTATATGATAAATTCAGCTAAAATATATAGATACACACACATATATGACAGAGATTTGGTGCTGGCACCACTGGAAATAAATATTTGGCCTAAAAAAATCTATGCCCATCCTTCAGAAGAAAGATGGCACCTTCTACAGTAGCATGAAGTTTCATAAATTAAAAAAAATAAATTAACTATAGTCTGAGGTGAGCTGGAATTTAGTTCTTATATTCTTTTTTGGAGACAACTATGTCTAGAACTTTATATAAAGCAATGAGGACTTGATCCAAAGCTATCTGAAATCAATTTAGTTAAGTTTATTTGGATCATACCTACGGATTAAGACTGGAGCAAATTTTTTAATATTGGAAACTGTTCGTACAAACTGACAATCTAATATTGAATCAGATTTTATTTTAAAGAGATGAAAGTAATTTAATTGCATATGCATATTTTTGTCAATTTTTATAGTCTTATTCAATATAGTTGCCATTGCTGCTGTCATTGGGGGTGAGGTCCACACTGGCAGAAAAAAAAAAAAAAAAAAAAAACCTAATAAATTGAGATCCCCAAGGAAAGAATAAATCTGATTATACAACAAATCATTATTTAATGCAAAACATTTCAGATACATTGCTTTCCGAAATTAGTGGCAAGATAACTTTCACTGTTATGTAGATCTCACTATGATAAATTAAGCAGAGGGAGAGAAAAATTATAAATATTTCTGGTTATTTCATTTGCTGTGATCTCAGTCGTTACTTCCACCAACAGTAGATAAGAAATTGTCCCTTCAGAAGCAAACAAATGAAGAAAAACTGAAATACTATCTTCTGTCTTCATTAAGCCTTCTTCCATTGATACCAATGGAGGCTTTTTGAATGTTACTATTTCTGTAGGTACTGTCATATTATCTTAGCATAATGAGGCCGTTCTTGTTGAAGAGAACATTGTATCCAAAAGAAGCATAACTGCCGTATTTCGTCCTTTTGTATTTTTCTTGTAAAATTTTTATAAGACGTTTTCCTCACATAATCAGATCCATAGTATTTAGAAAAACAGGTTGCTAGTACTCAAGTATTAGCTTTTATTGAGCTTTTATTGAGTCACTACAAATAGTAATGTCATTAGAAACAAAACTGATAAACCTTCACTGTACTGTGGTATATATAATTAATGCTCAGTCACATTACAGTTTAAATAATTGTCTTGTCACTTTTAAGGTTCCCACTGTCATCATAATAATGAAAAAGGAAATGTTGGACAAGTTTTACTATTTTTTGTTTAAATTTGAAAACAAGAGAAATCTTTTACTGCATATATTAAAAAAAAAGAATGATTGTTAACTATTAATAATATATCACTTCAGTAAAATAGTCAGATTATAATCTCTTCATAGTGAATCACTTTTGATGAGTTCTGCTTTTTAATCAATCACTGAAGGTTAGTGCTGACAACATGATTGATCAGACCAGTCATGAAAACCTTCTAACCATATCCTAGCATATCAGACTTAATATATGTGCACAGACATTCAGTCCCTTATAATGCATCAAAAAACAAAAAAAACACCAAATGATAGAAAAGAAGAAAAAGCCATCATTCAACTGCCAACAATGCTTTAGAAGTGAGAGAAAAACCTCCTCTTCATCAGGTCCTAAGTTCCAAATTTTACATATTCAGTTTCTAGGTTCAGTCAATTCTCTTGCAAGCACAGGGCTAGGGTAAAGAGTCCTATGTCTTTCCCTACTGCTTACTGATCATCTACATTTGCTTTATTC